TAAATATTTAAACAATTTTTGTGCAAAATTTTTCTGCACATGCATTTGAATATAAATTTCTGAGATTTTAAATCTGTTATTTTACCTTAATTTTAATTAAAAAATATTTTAAAACCTGCTGATTACCTATAGTATAATTAAATTTCAATATAATGCATGGCAACTGTTGGTAGTTTTGAAGTTTATATATTTTCTTGGCAAACTTCAGTTTTTGACATTTTTGACGGGTTTTTGACGGTTTAAACCAGTATTATACCCTTGTCATGTCAAAAACCACTTTTTGACGTCAAAAACCCAACCCTGCTTAGCAACCATGGGAGAATTTTATGTTGTATTCTAGTTTAACAGGGTTATAATGGAGCAAATGGTAATGGTTTGATGAAAGCCAAGTAAGTTGATGATATTTTAACTATTTGGAGATACATTTCCGTCTAAAAAATGTGGGTATAATGGATGAAACAATTTAAATTAAGAAAATTAGCAAATAATTTAATTTAGTTAAATTAAAAAAATATGTAGGAAAAAATTTCCAGCCTTTCTTTAAAATTTCCAGGTTTTATCCATATTTCCCAGATTTTTTCCAGTATAAAAAAAATTCCCTGATAATTCCAGGTTTTCCAGGTGGGTGGCCACCCTGTTTATCAACACTTAAACTGATTGTTGTCTTGTGCGAAGAATAATACACATTTATCATTGCTACATATTTTCCATCATAATTATCAATAATTAAATATTAGATTTAGTTATAACAATCTAAAAATTTTTAAAAATATTTTCAACTAACTTTAAATCTTTAGAGATAGCAAGATAAATTGTGTTAATGCAATGTGTAAAAAAATTTCTTGAAATTAAAAATTATAATTATTTTAAAATGCTGTAAAAAGAAAATTACGATAATAATGCATCAATTATATGCGATAATAATTACGATAATAATGCAAAATTACGATAATAATAAACATATTTTAGAAAAAATACCAGAATTATCTTTTTTCCGCAAAGCAGCTAAACCTCTTTCTTTCAGTGATGCTTTAAATGGAATGAATGACTCCTCTGAACTATTTCTTGATGGATTATTTTCCTTCTCCCATTTGGTTTGTTTGGGTGGCCATTGTCGACTTGGGGATCCTTCACATCTTTCAATGCATTGTCTCTTAGGAGAATCATCTGCTTCATCATCTAAAGATCTCTTGGGCGACACCTCTAAAGTTTCTTAAACAAAAAATATGGAAATATAGAACTTGATCATGTGAGATACATAAGACAGGAAAATAAACTCAATATATCTAGGAAGTCAAAGTAATTGTGGGGAAAAAAGCTTAAATAAGTATACAGCAATAAATTTTGCAAATTAAAAAAAACTAAGACTTAGACAACATCCTAAATAACTAATTCTAATCATTGTAAATTCATATTTTTTGAGAGACCTACCTTCAACATGCTAACTAGCTAGTAACTTCAACATGCTAGGCACAGAAAAATAAAGATTTGCACACTAATTCTCCTAAACTTTTAAGGACAACCAGTCTAAAGAACTGGTCAAACACAGGATATTTCTAAAATGCTCACAGCATTTTGTGGAGCATCAGGGTTCGCCAAGTGGACCCACTTTGAGAAAACCCGCGCCCGGGGTTTTATTGGGTGGGCCCACCTTTGAAAAAACTCACTTGGAACAATAAGTGGGCTTTATCAACAAAAAAATGCTACAGGCCACATAAAAAACCTGAAAGACTTCTTAAATCATTTGTAAATGATATATTATAAATATTAATTAGAATAAATTATTCCATAGAATTGTCAAATAATCAAAGGAGTTTTTGGGCACAACTTACTATTTTATAAATTTCATTTCAAAACACAACTCATTATTTTTTACAGTTAGCTGTTTTTAAAAATGTAATTTCTGTAAAAAAATCGAAAATTTGGATTTTTTGTATAAAATTATTATTATAGAAAATACAAACTTTAAACTAATATTTTTAAAACTTAAAAATTACTCCTTCATACAATGATATTAAATAAAGTAAATCTAATGCATAGTTCATAAAATTTAAACACGTTTATACCTTGATTTCTGATCTGTTGTTCATCAATTAGAGCTGGACGTCTCTTGATTACAACACCTGGACATTCATTTTCTTTAATGCTTATAAATTGTCTTCTTTCCTTATTTCGCTGCAGTAATTTCTATAAAAACACAAATATAAGTGACAATTGCTTTCAAAATCAGTTTTTCAATTAATCTTAAACTGCTCAAAACATAATTATTATTTAGCATCATTTTTAAATGTTTAAAAGGATTTCAACACAATGCAACTCAAAACTATTTTTAATATGACTAAGCTAAGATAAAAATAATTTGTTTATGCACTACAGATAACGGGGTGATTGTGAGCCCAACTCAAAAATCCTGAACATTTCTAAATAAAATTATTAATGCCGCATTTCAAACAATTATTGTCTTTATAAATTTAAATCATCGCTATTTTCACTACAAGAAATTCTAAATAAATTATATGCAGCATAATTTAAATTAATAATCATGCATAGGTTTGCTTTAACCTCTAATCATATTTATTATTCAACCAGAAAAAATATTTATACAAATAAAATATACGAGAATTTTTATACATAAATGTGATCACTGAATTCTTGAAACTTTTGGACCTTGGATATCCGGATTGCGGTTAGAGATAAATATGGAAATGCGGATTTTTTTATCTCTGATACTTTGTAATAATTAGGCAGGTGGGAAAAACATAACCATTTCTTTTTCTTTAGGAGACATACATTTTAATAGCTAAAATGAACAAATCTATTTTCCTCTTTCCATGAAACCAAATAACTATTGGGACATTGTTATCATAGTTATAATTTGTAAATAATAAACATAGTTTGCTCTTCTCTTGTTTTTTAAACTAATTAGTGTAGTTCTCATTACACTAAATAATTAAGCCATTATCATTTAGTATAAAAGTGTCCTTTTAGTGAGCTCTTGAAAGTTTTTTCTGTTGTTTGTTTTGCACAGGATATGCAAGTTTTTGACACATTCTACCTTAGACGATTCTTACCGTTATGTCAAAAACAAAGATCATTGGTAGTGTTGCCCTTACATTTTATTTGATCTAATTAAAATTGTATATTAAAACTTAAACCAATTAAAATGTTTAAAAAGTGGTTATATGTGCTAGTCAACAAAAATTACTTGAGATTGAGTAAAAATATAATGCATTTTTCCATTATGATAAAATCAGAATTTCATATATCTTAGTGATTCCACTAGACTTTGAACTAACACACAGGACATAACTCCTTACTACATAGGACTTACAAATTAGATCCTTTTCTACTAAAAGTGAGTCCCTATTTAAAATATAAATTCTCTACACATAATTTTGTCAACAGTTACACAAAACAAGAAAAAAAGTTATATTTCAGTTATCATGGCTTTTAATAAAAACTGATCAAACACCTGCATCAGGGGAAAGCTAGAATCAACATAATTTATAAATGTAACTATACAATTTGATACTCAAAATTACTCAAATTTTATCCTTCAACTATTAATAGCAAGGAAAATTAATTGTTTCATGTGTAGGTATTTTTAGAAATTAGTTATAATTTAGCGTACATAAATTGGCTAGCTCACAGTTTTGATTTTTTTTTCCGAATTCGAGAATCAAGCTTCATTATTTATTTTTCACATCCCCTCTACAAATTTTGGAGAAATTAATACATTATTAAGCGCAAGAGGAATCCTAATTAAATAATACATCCTAATCCTAATTAAAAAAATTATACTTATAAAAATAGTCTATCTAGGATTTTTTTTATTATACAAATTATATTATTAATTTCAAAAAAATGCATTACACTGTAAAAATTCGGATTAGATGGGTGGCATTTATGAATAAAAAGGGAAATAGGACTACAAATTTTCTGAATTAATAATTTCTTGACAGCTGATATTGAATATATATATATTCAATATATATATTCAATATATTGAATAGCATATAAAAATAAGTATTAACAAAATTGCTAATTATAAAGAAAATTTTGTTAAAAGAGTTTGTCTGCAGTGCTGTTCCATAATATAAGAAATAAATTAGCTTTTTGACAATTTTTCATTGTCAGGTCATAAACCCAGCCCTACTTCTGATAAAAGGTTTTACACCCCTAAGTTGTAGGATAAATTATTATAATTGTTAAGAAACAAAAGAGATTCAAGTAGGTAAATTATTAATTGATTGAGTGACATTCAAAAACTTTGAAACACGATTTAATATATTAAGCAATTAAATCTAAAGAAACCGTTACAATAATAAAAACAAGATTTAAACTTACTTCAGTAAATGAATCATCTAAATCCATAATGAAAACGCGAAATGAAACACGAATATAAGAAAACTAAAAGTTACAAAATAAATTCAAACTGCTAAAACAATAATTTTTGATGTTGAAATCAATCTTCCATAATATTAAATAGCACCATCACGCCTACCAACGAGTACAAAAACAGAAATTTTAAAAATACCGGCTGCGTTGAGTTAATTTAAATGTGTTGCCATATCCTGAAAAAGAAAAGAGAAAAAGTGAGACTGATCTAGTTCAGTAAAAATAGCGTCAACAAACAAGCTGCAAGCCAGCGCAAATGTATTATGCCACCAAATTAGGTTTATTAAGCATTCTCGCTGCGTTCAGTTTATGCACATCTGAACAATGTCAAAAGAGAATGAGAACCTGATTGGTGAAAAAAAATTTCATGCCAAAAAATCACTAATATCAGTTTCTCTGATTTTTTTTGTCTGAGAGCAAACGTGCGCGAATTGCATTTAGAGGTTCAGCCCTTTAGCCCTATACAAATTACATGAGCTAGAAATAAACACCTGGAAACGTGTATGCGAAATTCCTTTACCTCTTTTGTAATAGTGTTTATAATAAAAGCGTTATAACTTAGAAAATCTTTACTCATTTACTGTATATAAGATGCTCCATATTTCTCTTTAATTATAACTTATAATTTAGAAACTCTGTCAGATATTAAAATATATTTTAATATGCTATCATATCAAGAGAAATAATTATTTGAAAATCAGGGTGTGCCCAATGTGGCATAAGTGGTCGATACCAATTGATTTGATTTCTATGCTGATTCGGTTGATAACAATTGAATAAAATAGCTATGGACTGTATTTAAGATTTTTATTATCATTGGTGCTACGAGCACGCTCATGCTATAATAGCAACAACTGATTTTCAACTGTTAAGTGTTACAAGAGACGGTGGCGAGGATGCCAAGACAAAGATGCCAAGTTGGCGCTATATTTCTGAGACATTGAATAGAATGGCTCTTTCGACAAAGTACAGAAATTACTAAAAAAGCTCAAGCTGTCTATAGGTCTGACATTGAACGTGTAGGGTTAATTAGTTAGAGTCATGAAATTACTTGTCCCGAGTATACGTGGTTCGAATTCAATCTGCGGTCAATTTTTAAAAATTCGATTTAACGAAATATTTTTTTGAAATTATTTTACAATATCGTAACGTAAATAGAATATTACTTTATTTTTTTCTATATCATTTTATAATTAAAGCTTTAGAAATTGTAGCATTTTTATTAATTTACTGTATATATATATATTGCGCCATATTTCCCCTCAATACCAACCTCAATTTCCCCTCAATTTTGAAACTTGGTCACATATTTTATTATAGCATAATATACTACCATACCAATGCAAAATAATTATAGAGAAAATAGGGCCACACAAATGGTTTCCTTGACAACAGACAGAAATTACTTAAAAAAGCATGTTTTCTGACAATGCAAGTCTGACACCTAGTTGAATGGGAAAAGTTAAGTGGTTTGAAACAAAAAATTAATCCATTATCACCCGATGGTGGTTCGAATCTAAGTCACGAACAATCTTTTGAGACTAGAGTTACAAAAAAAGCTTCTTTTTTTTTTTTTTTTTTTGCATAATAAATAATTANGCTGGAGTTTTTTTTTTTTTTTTTTTTTTTAATATGGTAACCGTAAATAAAATATTCTTTTACTTTTTTCTTTCTTTTTTATAAAGGGATTTATAATTATAGCATTAGAAAGTAGAAAATTTTTACTAATTTACTGTGTACTGCATATATATGTATAATCATATATGGCAGTACTTTTACTTTCGTTACTTGTACCGCCGGTACAAGTAAAAAGTACGTAGTTTATCCTAATTCTCGTTACTTTTTAAATTTAATACTTTTACTTTAGATTTAGGTATTTGTAACGGAAATATCGAATAATATCATTACTTTTTTTCTAAAACTCGGTAAGCTTTCTAAAAAAAAAATTTAATTTAAAAAAAATGGTTATGTGTTTTTAATTTATAAAATTAATGTGCAATATATATGCATTCACAGCTAACTTCGTGCTTAAATACCTTCTGTTACAACTTATACTGCACATTCAATTATTTTTTACTAGCTCAAAGATCACAAAGCTATCTGAGACCCCGTGTTTGCTTTGTTTATGTTTGTGCTTTTAAAATCCGTTTCTAAAGAGTAAAACAATTTTTAATCAATGGTAATTTAAATAAATAAAAATAATAAACTAAAAATTAAAATCAGTAGATAAAATTTCTTTTTCATGCAAATCCATAAAAAGTTTCATATTAAAATTATACTTGATTTTAAAATTATATTATACGATTATATCATAAAATTATATTATAATATTCCTCCGAATTTAAAAATAAATTAATGTCCATAACTTTCAAAATTAAAAATAATTAAATAAATAAAACCAATTTTGCAAAACCATTGAAGAACATAAGAATATTATTCAATAAAATTTTAGGTTACTTTGAATTTTCGATTTCCTAGAAATGTACTTTTAAATCGTTACTTTTTT